CAGGCCTTTTTAATTTTCACTCAGGGGCTCAGTAAGTTGCCCAGGCTGGGCTTGAACTTGGGATGCTTTCACCTCAGCCTATCAAGGTGCTTGTATTAAAGGTGTGCACCACAATGCCCACTTTAGTACTGGGTTTTTGGAAAACAGACGTAGGGGAGACGACAGGGCAGTCCAGGTCTTCCTCTGGCTTTAGTACCATTTCGGGGCTGGAACCCAAAGAGCTTCTTTTCAGGGGTTCGGTCCATGCTGCCTGAGGCACATTCACTTTGTGTTTTTGTCTGTCCCCTGACATTCTGTACCTCACCTGTCCGAGGGAATCTGGCCACTCTGAGACACAGGATCGTATGGATTGGTGGTTCTGAGAAACAACTCCTGGAACTCACTTGTCCCTTCTGATTCAGGTTTTGGGAGTCCCTTTTCAAAAATATTATCTAGGAAAACACGAGGCAGAGGAGGAGCTAATAACTACAATTTTTAAAAAAGTTTAATTCTTCATGTAATCTGTCAAATGAGTGTAATAGTATATAATGATTTTTCATCAAGTCAGATGGATTTTAGACACCTGCACCAGAGCCAAAAACTATACAGTGCTTTTCTTTTCTTTGGTATCGGGGATCGAACTCAGGACTTGGACCCTGCCAGGCAAGCACGGCGCCACTGAACTACATCCCTGGCCCTATAGTGCTTTTCAATGGCCTCTGTTAATTAAAATTGCTACCACGTTCTGAGTTCAGAGGTCACAAATACAAATACAAGTTGCTCAAGAATCCATGGTAAATGCTAGTGCCTGCATGAGAGCCAGTTACGTGAATTTTTTTTTTTTTTTTTTTTGAACCGAGGATCAAACTCAGGACTTTGCGCTTTCGAGGCAGGTGACAGAACCACTGAGCTAAATGCCTGGCCCCAGTCATGTGAATTTTAATGTCCACACCAGGGCCTATGTACTCCTATGTGACTTGGATAATTTCTCCCTCCCAGAAAGGTTACTTCAGGAGACGTTTCCTTCAGGTTCTTTCCTGTCTTTCTTTCCTGTCTTCCTTTCCCTCCCTCCTTCCCTCCCTCCTTTCTTTCTTTCTTTGTTTTTTGCTTTAAAGATTTTAGAGAAGCGAACACTTTATGGCCTGGGGCTAAGCCCCTCTTTGCTCCCAACTACGGTTGTCAGTAGCTACACTCAACCTACAGCACATGCGTGGGGTGGACCCTGGTCACCCTTGCGCCTTCTGAGTTATCACTTCAGTCTTCGTGGCCAACCTGCCAGGGAGGAAGCAGGCCATGTGCCGCTGATCACAGAAACAGGTTCACAGAGGCCAGGAGACCCGTCTGTAAGTCAAGACTTCTGACTTCTGACACTGACTTGCCTCCCCTACTGCTTGTTCTCCTACAGTGGTTCTCAATCCAGCTCCCAGACCAAGGATACCTGGGCGTTTGCTAGAAACATGTTCTTGGCCCCACCAGACCTATGGGTTAAGAGGCTCTCAGAGGAGGGGCCCTTCAGGGGGTTCTGCTGCCTAAGTGGGAGAAGCACTGTTTCCATTCAACAGTATTTCCAGTAAATTCTACGATTCAGAAAAGTTCTCAGCAACTACTTTTATTTTTAAAAATAATAATTTATTATTATTTTTAAAGTTATTATTATTTTTGGTGCCAGGAATCAAACTTGGGACCTTGTGAGCAACTACTTTTAAAAACTAAGGTCCCTCAGGAGCCCAGTCACTTGCCCTACTCAGTATAGGCAACAACCACTGTGACTCAACCTGAGCAGAACTTCAGCTGCTAAGTTCTTCACCCACCTTTTGAGCTGAGCTTCCCTCTCTGTGAAGCAAAGGCTGGAACTGACTTGGCAGTGTTATTTCAAGGGCTGAGATGCAACAACAGATCTGAGCAGCCTGACAGTTAAAAATAAACAGCCTTGAAAAAGGAACCCTGCTCCACTGCGGGCGGGAGTGTAGACTGGTGCGACCACTGTGGAAATCAGTGTGCAGATGCCTCACAAAACTGAAACTGGAGGTTCCATTTGACTCAGCTATTCCTCTTTTTGGTATCTTCTTGGAAGAATTAAAAGCATCCTACCACAGCAACACCTGCACACCCATGTTTATAGCAGTGCAGTTTATACTAGCTAAATCTTGGAAACAGTCCAAATGCCCATCAACTGACGAACAGATAAAGAAGGTGGTTTTCTAAAAAATACAATGGAGTACTACTCTGCCATAAAGAAGCATAAGCTTCAGACATTTCCAGCCAAATGGATGCACAGTACTCTTAAGTGAGATAAATCAGATACACATGTTTAAATGCCACATTGTTTCTCTGGTGTGACAAACTGAAAGTGTAAATAAAGAACAAAATGTGTAATAGATATTAGAAAATAGGAAGAAAATGTTCAGATGAGAAGGGGAGGGAGGGGAAAAGGAAGGGCCAAGTAAGAAAGAATAGAAGCAAAAAAAAAAAATGGAAACAAAGCTTTTGTAAATAAGGAGAAGAGGACTGACAGGAGGGAGGGGAATGGGAAACAAGGCACGATAGATCACGTGCAGCTACAAATTCCCTATGATGAATGTTAGTATCTATATTATCTAAAATGTACCAATAAAAAAAAGGAAAAAAACACCCAGCCGCGCGGTCCTCCCCTACACACCATCTAAAGGAGCCTAACACTGGAAAACAGGCAGAAATTTGATGTTTTAAGGAACCCGGTCCTCTTATCAATTCTTTTTATTTTTTTGGTACCAGAGATCGAACTCAGGACCTTGAGCTTGCCAGGCAGGCACAGTGCCACTGAGCTAAATCCCTGACCTTTTATCAATTCTTTTGAAATTTGCTGAGAATGAACCCAAAACAACAAGGTGTTTTTCATTTTTCCCTTCAGCGACATAAACCAGGTTTAGTGAGGGTCTTGTGAACACCACTGCAAAGGTGTCCAGGGAAAATCTAGAGGGCATTCAGCCAGGGGCCCCTGGATTTGACTTCTCCTGCTAAACATCAGAGGTTGCCCCAGCCGTAGGAGTGAAACAGCAGGATGCTAGAGCACCCAGAATCCTGTGGGCAAAGGAGGCTATCAGCGGACCCTGCAGGGCAGGTGTTGATAAGCCTGTGGTCCCTACTCTTCCCTTCCCTGCCAGCAATGCCTCTGTGTAATCCCAGGATTGGGCCGTGTGAGGCAGGTGGCCACAGGAGGTCCTGGCTTGGTGCCGCTCCGCACACTCCCCTGCAGGTAGGTCTGCAAGGCTATGAGCTCCTAGGCTCCCAACCAGCTGCCTCTGCTGACCCTGGCTGATGGTAAAAGAAGTTATTCCCTCCCTTGCCCCTCAGTGCTGAAGTGCTTAGATTCTCACTATGCTCTCCTCATTTTAGTAACTCAGATTAGAGGGGTTAGGTGGCAGGGGACCCATACAGCTGCCTGAGTTGAAATCCTAGTCGCACACCAGCTGGATACGTAACCATGGGCCAGTTATGTAACTTGAGCCCTCAGTTTCCTTATCTGCAAAATGGAACAGTGGTATTTACCTTTCAGAATTATATTACATTTATAGCTTAAGTGAAACCACACATAAAAAGCATACTAAGAATACAGCTGGCAGCTAATATATTTGCTATTATTTCAACTCCTTATTTTGCCAATTACATTTCCAAAAACAAACAAAAACTGATGAAATTTCACCTGGTGTTTTATCTGTTTCCTATCAAGGAACTGGCTGAAGACAGCCAAAGAGAAAGGGAGGGAACACCTCGAGGTCCTTCTTCAGGAGCTCCTCCGCTACTACAGCCAGACTGACTCAGACGTTAGGGAGGAGACCAAGTCTTTGGCTAAGATTGAGTCTCTTAAAACTTAGCCTCAACAATCTTTCTAGCTTCAAGTCCGACACTTGAGCCAACAGGGCTTCTCGCTATTTCCAGAGCGGCTTCTCTGGAGCTCAGCCCTGTGCCCTTTGCTCACAACATGAGTCTAGTCTTCCTCACTGCCTCCAGTAACCTGGCAAGAGTCCCACCCTTCACTTGAGGCCACTGTGACTGCAGCCCTTCTGTGAGGCACTTCCTAGTCCCCACCCCTTCCCAGACGAGGGGCTTCACCCTTGGCTGTACATCTGCTGAGCTCTCTGATCCTGTTAAGGTAACTCACTGGTCTTACTTCTGCCTGTCATGCGCAGGCCGCTTAGCCTGGAGCCTCCGCCAAACGAGTCAGGTTCATTTAGGGTTTCCAGTGAACAGAGAGGTACAGGAAAGGCCACATTATTAACATGTCTTGTTTCCATCTCTCCCCAGGCTCCAGGCACCTCCCAGGTTCTCCTGGATGTTCCAGAGTCCGTGTGTGTTGGAGACATCCAAGCACACTGCTAGCTATGCTAGCTAAGGCACTCGCCGGGCCAGTTTGAATTCCCAATTCTCATTTAAAACTCAGCTGACCTGGTGAGGCGGCACATAACTGTGGTCCCAGCTGCATGGGAGGCTGAGGCAGGAGGGATGCTTGAGCCCAGGAGTTTGAAAGCTGCCTAAGCCACCCATTAAGAGTCCATCTCAAACAATAACCACAAAAATAGGTCTGGGAGTGTAGCTCAGTGGTAGAGCAATCGCCTAGCATGCATGAGGCTCCAAGTTCAATTTCTTGCATCAGAAAAGAATAAAACGAATTCATATGAAATTTTACTTAATGATACAGCAATATTCCTTTAATATTGAACTCAGAATTTCCACTCATTTCTATCAAATTTAAATCTGTAATTTTTTTGTTTTTGGCATGGTGGGGGTAGAACCCAGTACACTGCATGTGGTAGGCAAGCTCAGCAGCACTGAGCTACATCCCCAGCCTGATCTGTAAATTTATGAAAGCACTCAATCACCTTAGAGCAGTGATGGCGAACCTTTTAGAGCTTTCAATGATATAAACAGTCCACTGCAGCACGCACGTGTGGCATACATAGGTTTGCCACCACTGGCCTCGGTTCTCTGTGAAGTAACCACTGAATGCTAGGAGTAGGAAAAATTTTTAGGTCCTTTCTTACCTTGATCCAATGACATCAAAAAGATGTTGCCAACGATCATTGATTTTGTGGAGCTTGTCATCAATCTCAGTGGCTCTTGCCGTGCTGCTGGCCTTGATTAACTGGTCACCCATTTGCTTTAACTGTAACTTGTTTTCACTGAACAAGTTTATTTCTTCCATGCAGTCCTGGTCAAGGCACCCAAACACAAACCCAAATTATTACTCTAAATTCATTTCTTCTCCAGCCACAAACACACAGATGCCTCTTAAATTTTTTTTTTTTAATTAAAAAAATCCCTCTACCTGTTAAGTCTTTAATGAGTAAAAGGTTTGATGATGCCTGCTAGGCAAATATGATGTGTGTAAGGCAGTCGTTCCTTTTTTAATTCGACAGTCCCTCTGCTTCCCCTCACAGATGTCTCCTGATCTATTCGGGAGCTGAGGGGATGCGGACAAAATTAGGCCTGGTATCAGGAAGTTTCCCTTGGCCTGGCTGAGGGGCATTTTGGGCAACTGCAGGAGAATCCCTCAGTACCTTTCCCTGTGGGAATCAGTGGCCCACAAAATCAGGAACCCTTTGGCATGGGCTCCCCTTAACAGTGACAAACAGAGAAACCACCACTGGTGTGGGGTATGGATAGCGCATCAGGAGATGTGAGCCCTTTCTCGGGCCAGACTGGCTTCTGGAGAAAGCATCTCTCCTTAGCACTAGGCTTCCCTACTACAGTCCCCCAGTAGGATCAAAATAGTGAGAAAGTCCCTTCTCATTTCCCAAATGTTACTGCAGACACACCTGTGACATTACACCTCTCTGAGCCTGGCCCTGAGGAGGGCAGGAGGGCGAAACCCGTGCTCCCCATAACCACATCCCCCTGGGCCCACCCCTCACCTTCTGTAACTTCTCAATCATTTCTTCAATGCTAATATCCGCTGTCTGCAGAACTTTGTTTTCCATCTGGACCAGCCACGCACACAGCTCTTTATGTTTTTCATTGAACACGGCCCATGAGTTGAGTCTGTCCTCGATCTCCTGTTTTCGGGCAGCCACCTATATAGCAACACACGTGCAGCTGAGGCGGGCAGGGAGGAAAGCACCTCCTCTCTCCCCACATCAAAAGGACTGTGAGTCCCATGCATTCTGGTCAGTGTCACCAGGGACTCAAATCTCTATGTTTCTTCCTCTTAAAGCCTAGAGCTTAACATAAACAGAATTTTTTTGGCCTTTTGGTAACTGCCATACAAAGTAACCAAATACAGTTCCTGAACTGGACCTGACAAAGGATTTTTAATCATTGTGCATCTATTATTATCAGGTTATATTAAAAATTGGAAACAAGAGAGATTAAATATGACATTATCACCCAAATTTCTTATTTCTTGTTCTACTAATATGCGTTTATTGACTGCTTACTATATGCCAATTTATAATGTTCTGGCCTAAATCCTTTAAGAAACGGATCAAACCATTATACCTATGTAAGGCCAATGTCTTGCCTACTTAATTTCAAAACTATAATCCAGATCACAAATCAAGAATCTGTAATGCAAATGGACCAAGAAAATAAAAGTCATTTGAATATTTGACTTCCAAAAAAGTAAAATAAAGCAAAACTAAAAGCAATGCACACTGCTCAGTTAATCTAATTTCTCATTATACATTGTATTTTTTTGAATGGAAATGTCATAAAAAATTGTGTACAGCAAGCAAGCTGACCCCAAATATCTCATATTCCATTATCCATGAGGAATCCCTCAGCAAAGGGTCCCCTTCTCTTTAGGGTTGAAATATATTACTAAAATAAGTTTAAATAATGCAAATCAGTCTTACTAAATGTACAAAGGTATCTTCAGGTCTTGAAAACTTTTAAAATCTTAACAGTTCTTCTGGTGAAGTTTTAACATCTACTTTATTTATTATTATTATTTTCCAGTGCTGGGGATTGAACCCAGGGCCTTGCTCCATTTGAGGCCAGTACAGCATTCTACCACTGAGCTACACTCCCAGGTCCAATACCTCATTTTATAAAAGGGTAAGGCAAGGTTAAAACCCCTGGGATTTTCTTGCTACATACAAAAGCAAAACAAAACTCAAAAAAAACTTCTGCTTTTTCAGAGTGAGGCAAAAACTACCAAATGCTTATACAAGCTTTCCAGCCAAACATGTTTAAAGAGCTTGAAAATCTATCCCTAAAAAAACAATCCTTTTGTTTCCATTCTTCAGGGCATCTATTTACTTTAGCTTTGAAATGCCTGGCACTGTGCATAGGCCCCTTCCGATTGATTTCAGAACGGTAACAATTAGGAACATCTGGTCTCCACTCTGCTTCTACCTTAACTTTGGAAATATTTTTCATATACACTGAACATTTTCTTTCATAAAATCTTGAATAAAAAAACTTTTAAAAGGACGTTTAAAATTAGGTTGCCTTGTGATGACTATACTCTAAAATCAGTTAAGTTCTTGAAAGGTGTTTTTACTTCAATAAACTGTTCAAAAGTGTCTGGATTTTAACATTTTAAACATTTTTCTTAATTCACAAAATATGAGATTAAGGAATTTATTTTCCTTAGAAATACATGTTCTTAAAGATCTTTATTAAGACTACTTGAATCCTTTAATCCCATCTTGATCCTGTCACAAACTTAAGCTGTGTAATACTCTTGCCACAATCCCATTCTTAAGGGCAGAAATGATCAGCTGAGACACACAGCACAGCCAGTTCCAAAGTCCCGCCTCTTGAGATAAACAATGCACGGAGATGAATGCAGAGTCCTGCCCTGCATGGCCGGGCCTGCAGGACTAGGACTCTGGCTGCTCCGCCCCGGACAGACCCCACAGGCAGGCCAAACCCGGAGCTTTTCTACAATACAGGCCGGTCCTTGTCACCTACATGAGCCAGAAGGCAGAATCTGCACATCTGCTCACCACTGCAATTTTTCTCTCTGCTTCAGGTGAGTTTTTAAAAAGCTCATTAAAAATGTGCAAAGTTCCCGCATTTAGCGCTGTTTCAACAAAAGGGTCAAATCTGTTCAACCCTGTTGCTGCCTAGTCCTACAGGAACAGCCGCAGGCAGGGATGCCACGGACAGGGCCCCTGGCTCCGGGAAAGGGAGCTCCTTTCCACTTGGTCTGGCCTTTGGGGCTTTTCGGTCCCGTCCCCCCCCCCCC